ATTTTCTCTTCTTTTTCTATAATGTTTGTTTTTGTTATTTCTAAAATTGCTATTTCTTCTTTCTCTGTCTAACCTAGCAGGTTTTCTAATTTCCAGCCTCTGGTTTTGAGTCTATTGATGTTATAATATACAATTTTTATTTCTTTTCTTTCTTTTTTTCATTTTTCTTTTAACTGCTTGTATCTTGTTTCTGTGTTTTCTGCTTTTCCCTTTTCTTTTTTTTTCTTTTTTTCTTCTAAATTAGAAGATTTTTCTTTATTTCTTTCTTCGAAACTCCTTCTCTCACTATGCAGAAAACCTTTAATCTCTTCATCCATATTTAAGAGTTCAACTTGGGTGACCTTAGGATCAGTTAGCCAGGCCTTCTTTTATGTCTAGCTAAATGTTCTCTAGTTGATTAAGTCTATCTAAAATTTGATCTAAGACTTTCTTCATCTGTCTTGTTTTTGCATATACTTGTGTGTTTAGTCTTGTCTTCTTTTCAGTTATATTTTATTATTTCTTTCTGCATTAGTATTTTTAACTCCTAACCATTGTTCTATGTTCTGTAACTGAGGATCACTTTCTATTTCAATATATCTTCTATTTTGAGTCTGACTACTTCTGTCTTAGCTTTTTCTGTAAGTAGTGTTTCTATCTTCTAACCATTTTTCTGTATCTTGTATAAGAGGATTACTTCTCATTTTTATATGTTTTTTATTCTGATTTTGGCTATTTCTTTCCCAGCTTCTTTCTTTTTTTCCTTTAAAACTTTCTCTTTTCTTTATTTCATTTCTTCTTTCGTTTAACCAGGAGACTTGAAAATTGTTTTATCTAATTGGTTTTGATTAGGCTGCCTTTATTTCTTTACCTATTGCAAATGTAACTATTGCTATTCTTCTTTGATTTCTGTTTTTGTTTAGTAGGATATATACTAATTTTGCACCTTTGCTCCTTAGGCAGTGTAGCAGCAAGACTTCTGAGGCATTGCCTGGCAGCTCTGTTATTTTTGCTGTATACTGATTCTGTTTTTGTCTTGCTTCATAATTCTCTTCATCTTCTGTTACTCTTACCAGTTTGTTACTGTTTACTGGTATCAACCATGGTATGTCTTCTTCTTCTGACTCTTCGACTTGGACTATTGCAAGAGACTTGTATTTGGATCTCTTGATTCTTATTATATGTGCTTTTTTAAATCTTCTGTACATATATTCAATCTCTTTTCTGTTTATATCTATTGGTAGATCCCAGATTGTTATATATTTATGTTTCTGTGTTTCTTCCTCCCTAATATCTATTTGGTTTTCTGTTAGCTCTCTTTTGCTTTTTTGATGTTCATATTCCTTTTTTTTAAACTTTGATGTATTGTTTTTTTCTTTTTAATAATCTTTATCATATGTTTTCTCTTTTTTCTTCTTATCTATTCTTTTTTCTTCTGCGATCATTCTGTACCAATTACTTTCTTTCTTACTAATTCTTTGTATTGTCTCACTTCTGCTGTATTCACAGTCGAAATCTATTTCTATTCAAAGGTTTTCTCTTTTGAAAACATCTTCAATGTTCTTGCCATGTTTATTATTCTTTAATGACCATCTAATAAAATTTGTTCATTTTTCTTTGGTCTTTTCAGGTACATTATATGCTAATATGTTTACAAGTAGACTGTTATTTTGATTGCAGCCTCTTTTGCTCAGTGCCTACATGCTTTCTTCAAGTAGTACTTCCACTATATCAATTTCTCTTTCGATTTCTTGTTTTCTTCTTTTTTTCCTTTCTTTTTCTTCTGTTGTTGATCCCTGTCTTGATTCTTTTCCATTTATTTCTATATCTTCTTGTTCTTGTCCTCTTTTTTGTTCCTCTTCTTTCTTTGTATAAATGAATGATTCAGCTTCTATTTGGTTATTATTTGTCTGTCTTACCTCTATACTTACTTTTTTCCCTACTATTTTGATGATTGCTTGTGAACTCATGTTGGCCTTTTTATTCTCTTCATTTTTCTTTTTTGTCTTTATCTTTAACTCTTCTTATCTTTCTTTTATCTCATTAGTCTGTTGCTGTTCTTTCTTTCTTTCTGTATTTATTCTATCTTGATACTGTTCTACAAAATCCAACTTTTTTTTAAGTAGTTCTTTTACTGCTCTTTCTAGTATTTCTCTTGTTATTCGCAGAAGTACCACTTTATTTGAGTTCTGTCTTGTAAGTACTGTGACAATATTGTTTTTTCTGCTAGGTATTGCATATGTCTTGCTTGTCTCATTAAAGAAAATTTTATTGTACATATTATTTATTGTCTCATATACCCTTCTTATGAAAATTGCATTAAGACTTCCTCTGTATTCTTCTGACAGATTTCTATTCATGTTGTATAACCATTTTCTATATGCTTCTATGTCACGTGTTGTATCTAGATTAAACTAGTTGATGTATATGTTTGTTTGTTTACTTTGCTTGTACTAGTGCAGTTTCTTGTATAACTTAAAGAATCTATGATACAGGGTTTTGACAGTTCTCCAATTTTCCAAACAAAAAAAATTTTTTTTTATTTTCATAAAAGTTTTTTATATGCTGTTTTTTGTTAACTTTAAGACTTCTCTTTGTATCTTTTATTAAACTATATACAATTTTTATTGCTCTGTCTTTTTTGTTAGTACCTCAAATCTTGTTTCCTAGTCTATTTATTGAGTTTTTCTAAGTTTTTGCTTCCTGAAAATTTTGGTCAAAAGATCTGCAAGGAAGAGTTCGATGTCTTTATTTTAAAAGTTTTTTTTTAAATATATTAATAATTATTTTATCAAATTTAATAATTTTTTTATTTTAATTTTATATAATTCTAAAATTAAAATAAATAAATTTAATAAATTTGATTAAATATTTATTGAGATATTTTAATTTAAAGAAGTTTTTTTAGTATTAAGATAATCTCTTTAATTTTTTAATATTTATTAATGATTTTTTTGATAATGTAATTTTATGAACTACTATAAAAAAAATGTACAATTAATTACATATGTAACTTTTCTATATTACCTATTTAAAAAATCCACTTATAGGTTCTTCACCAATTGTCATACCTAATACCCTTGCTTGAATGTTCTATTTTAAACCCTCTAAACCTGCACCTGTATTAACAAATTTAGAGAATTTTTATTTATACATGAGATATATATACATAACAGTATAAAAATCAATCAATATCTCAAAATTTTGATTATTAAGCCATCTTTTGGTTTTTAATAAAAAAAATTTCTTGCACAATTTTGATATAAGTTATATTTTGCATAATTCCAAATCCACCCTTATCCTAACCATAAGCAAGGATTTAATTTTTCGTTTGTAAAATTGTTTTGATGCTATGTTACACGAAGTTGTAATTCAATAAATTATAGCTGTGTATAAACACTACGTGTAAACTAATAAATTTTCTGTGTAAACTAATTTTATTTTCAAAAAAATTGTATATATAAAAAACATATAGATTTTCTATAGATATTTTAAAAAAACTCATAAGTATACTTGAAATTTTTTTTAGAGTTTTGTAAATCTCGACCTGGCCGGCCCAAGTAACAGATGGTATTTTGCGCACAATTTTATTGCTTAAATAACAAGAGGTATTGCCATAAAAATTTGTACTATGAATTTTTACTATTAATTAGTATATCGTAAACCCAGCAATCGGGTGCAGGTGCGGGTTTTAAACAATTCACAAGAATTTTTTTAATTATACTTCGATATATGATACGTTCAATTCTTTTTTTTGCTTTACTAATAAATAAATAAAACACTGATATAACGAAATAATGAGATAATAATGAGATCAGAAAAGTAAGATTTTCATGTTTATAAAAATAAAAGACAACTATCCCGAATTGAAGTATACAGTGCTTGATGACAATCTTGACTGAATGGTATTAGCAGGTTTGAAAAACGATATTTTTAAAACACCAAGCCTGAAAAATTGTCAAATTAAGACCTGTTATAAGGAAAATTTAGCTTCTTAACAGCATCAATCATACACGTCTGATTACATTATTCCTCCTTTATTATGTTGTTACAGGGTTGTAGAATCGCTTCTTTCCATTTATTTTGTCAAAAATTCATATGATGACGTGTTACGCATTATTTCGTGGGACAAACAAATCATGTATATTGATATATCGATATAAAAATATTTAAACTATAATTCCGAACATTTTTGTCCAGCCCGGATTTCCGTTATTGTTATAGCCATGCGATAGTTGACAGTATATATATAGGTGCTATATGTGTAACACTGCAAAACCATTAAACTATACTATAGATGATTAATAAATGGTAGGAAAATAGACATTAAGGGAATGAAATTGTCGAAGAAATAAAAATGTGTGTCGAGTAATTGGTAGTGTGAAATGAAAATGTCGGGTAATGAGGGGAAATAAAAGTGTTGTCGGATAGTTGGGAACTGAAATTATCAAAGAAATGATTGAAAATGAGATTTTTTGCCTTGAAAATGACCTTATGGGGTATGGTCATTACTATATCCTATAAGGTAATTTTTAAAGCAAAGACCCCAAATGATTGTTGAGGAAAAAAAAATCCAGGACTAACAAAAATCCAGGACTAACAAAAATCTATTATTTGGTTGAGACAGCGCTGTAATTCAAACTTATACGGTTATTAGAGTAACAAAAAAATTCTTGGCATGTTGCAAAATTTATGATAAAACTGTAGTTTATAAGCTTTTCTACATTTTGTATCTCTCAACAATAGTAACAATAGTACAAGCAGAATTTCCGGATTCTGCTTCTAAAAATTCTTTAAGAGCTGAATAAAGTGAAAATTTTGGCATTACCGTTACCGTTACTAATTTCTAAATTAATTACACGTTGTTAACCATTTAAGTAAATTCGCAATTTATTTGATTGGTGTTTTGTTCTTTGTTTATATTGTCTACATATCTGTGAAATATTCAAAAAGAAACAAATAAAACTACATGAAGAATTTTAACTCGAATCGTAACCATTACACCTCAACACAGAAAAAATATGGCTTTACGATTAAATAGCGAGAGCAACGAAATATATCATTTAGGTAAAGATTTATTTTCACAACTTTTTAAAATTAAATTATCAATTTTTAACTGAAATCAACAATTTGTATCTATATTGTTATGGTAGGTTCGGGCAACATAAGGCAGCGAAAAAAAGGACAAGATTATAAAAACCTTTCATCCGATGCATTTTTTTTAAAAAACAGCTTAAAGGGAAAGAAAGCTTATAAATCTTTTATAGAGGTGTCTATTGATGGATATAATCTCCTTGGACTTTTCATAGTTTCTCTCTTTGTAAGATTATACAACCTAGGTTATCCAGCATCAAAAGTGTAAGACAACGATATAAGTTCATCTTCAATTTAACAAATTTTTTTTCGATTTCAAGCCATTCCGCCATTCTGCATTAGTCTAGTACATTAATAATGCATATATATGCTCTAATTGTGATTATCGCATATCCGTGCAGTTTAATGCATTAAACTAATATAGGATAGTTAAACAAAAAATCTTTGTACTTTTCCTCCATTGATCTCTGAAAATTCTTTTATTAATTTAATAAATTGGATTTGCTTTACAATTATTAGTTTTGAAGAGTCACACTTTGGGCATTATGTCTCGTAAGGATATTGCTTATTATTTCTGAATTCCTCAAGTCAAACAATTTCATCTAATTTATTGATAATTTTTCAGACAATACATTAAACGCAGTTTCTTTCTGGATTATGATCCACCATTAGTAAGGTTAATTTTCGCCTTCGTTGGTTTCTTGTGTGGATTCGATAACGATTTTGAATTTAGTGAACACAGGTAAATTTAATATATTTAATTATGCTCAATTCAACCAATTTTCCTATTTAATGATTATTACTTTTTCTTTGTATTGTTTTCTTTTTAAATAGGGATTATATTGAACTTGAGTTTCCATATGTGGCCTTACGCTATGTGTCAGGAATAATAGGAATTTGCATAATACCAATTGCTTATTTAACAATCAAATCCGCTGGATTTTCGAAAACTGCAGCATTTTTGGTTTCTGCTTTATTGATATTTGGTATGTTCGAATAACAAAAGAATTATTAATTGGCTGAAATACTTTAATAGAACATTGTACTCGGCTTCCAGTCATTAGATACAAAACGTGTATTCTATTAATTTTAAAAAATTGGCCTTATAGAATTCCATTATTTATTTTGTATGCTAATCACCAATCGCCTTTTTTTCCCTTAAAAAGAGAATGGATTAGTAACCCAAAGTAGAATTATTTTACATAGTTCACCGTTGTTAACTTTTACTGCATTTACATTGTTGATGTGGGTCAAATGTTATACTGAACAAAAAAGGTATATTTATATAGTAATAATAAATTGGTTTTTATCTCATCATATTAAATATCTTTTTTATTTTATTTGTTATTATCAGACCATTTGAGTTATGGTGGTGGGTCTGGATGATGTTAACTGGAGTAGGTCTTGGCCTCACAATAAGGTATGTCTCTAGAACTTGCATTTTTATCTAATGATAATATAGCTCATATTATGTTAAATAATTAAATTTTAGTGCAAGTTTGGAGGGTTTTTTCACAATGGCCTTTATCGGTCTCTTAGCATTAAAAGGTCTATTGGATTTATTATGTGATTTACACATGTCCCCTGTATGTAAACTATACAAACTTGGTCATTATTTAATAATTTTATTTTAACAGTAATTTTTTTCATTTTTAGAAACGATTTACAAAACATCTTCTTGCTAACGCATTATGTTTAGTAGTTGTTCCTGTTATTCTGTACATAACTTTCTTTTATATTCATCTTGAAGTCTTAAAAAATGGCGGTCATGATGTATTGTACATAAGTCCTGAATTTAGAACGACATTAAATGCATCTACCATGGATGATACATATATAGGTTGCTAGATATGTTTCTATAAGTTTTGATTATGACAATTGTTTTCTCTTTTCTCAATATTTATGAATTATTACAGATGTTGCATTTGATTCTACCATAACTCTTAAACATGTTGGTACGGGAGGTTACTTACATTCACATCAGGTTGCTTATCCGAGATCCGAAGATGATGATATCCGTATGCATTATTTCACTTTCTGAAATGAAAATCTTGAAATTAGTTTCCATTAATAAAAAGATTTAATTCACTTAGATCATCAAGTTAGTCTTCTTATGCATGATGGCAGTGATGATGATAATTTTTGGATTATTAGAAGAATTGAACTTGATGACCATAGAGATCATACAGATTCTCAAAATCCCGCAACTTTTCAAGAATCTCAGGATCTTCAGGAATCTCAAGACATTCAAGAGCCTCAAGGTCTTCAAGAACTTCTTGAGCCTCGAGGCCTTGAAGAATTTCAAGACCTTCAAGAACCTCAGGACCTACAGGAATCTCAAGACATTCAAGAACCCCAAAAACGAGAGTCTCAAGGCCTCGAAGAATCTCAAGACCTTAAAAAACCTTGGGACCTTCAGGAGTCTCAAGACATTCAAGAGCCTCAAGGTCTTCAAGAATTTCGAGAGACTCAAGGCCTTGAAGAACCTGAAGAACCTCGGGACTTTCAGAAATCTCAAGACTTTCAAGAGCCACAAGACCTTGAAAAACCTCAAGAACTTCAAGGTCTTGAAGAACCTCAAGAACCTCAAGGCCTTGAAGAACCTCAAGGTCTTGAAGAACCTCAAGGTCTTGAAGAACCTCAAGGTCTTGAAGAACTTCAATACCTTCAAGAGTCTCAAGAACTTCAAGAACCTCAGGAATCTCAAGAATATCAAATTCTTCGAGAACTACCTTATAGAAACATCCTTGACTGGATTTACAATGGAGCATTAATTCATTTAGAACATGCTAAGACTGGTAGAAGTTTACATAGCAACACAACAAATGCACCGGTTTCAGATGGTGAATTTCAAAAAGAAGTTAGGTGAATAAACTTCAATGATTCTGAATGATAAAGTTTAGGTTTACACATTTATTTAGATTAAGATACTCTACTGTAGTGCACGATTTTTCGATGAAGTTTTAGATACTACCGATCTTTGGCGAGTGGAAATTGCAGAAGATGATAAATCAGATCCGGCATCTAGTAGACGTCTTCGATCGATTCATACAAAATTCCGGCTATATAATTATGAAACAGGATGTTATCTTTTTTCACATTATATTAAATTGCCATCCTGGGGATCTGATGAAATAGAAGTTACTTGTATCACGGATGGTAATTACAAAAATTCGTTATGGTACATAGAAACAAATTCTCATCCAGAATGTATGTGATTAATTTCATATATATGATTTTTTATGCAATATGTTATTTAAAAAAAAAAACTAATCAATAATCATCATTGTCATCATGCTTATTCATCATATCATTTTTTTTTTTTTAGTACCACAAGACGCAGAAATGGTTAATTATAAAAAGTTGGGATTTTTTAAGAAATTTTATGAAACTAATTTAGGTATGTGGGAATATCGTCTCGAACGCTATTCTCATCATACTCGTCGCCCTTTGTCATGGTTATTCTTGAATGGTGGTGTCAGCTTTTGGAAAGATGAAGAAGAAGAACGTCAAATTTATTTGCTTGGAAATCCATTTATATGGTGGGCCTCCACACTTGCTGTATTCGGTTTTGTTGTTGTGAAATCAGGCATGCTTTTATTAGAAAAGAGAGGATATAATATTCATTCGAATGGTAAGATTATAATGGATCTTTTAAAAAAAATACAAGATTATTAGATTATTCATAAGCTTTATTAATTCATCCATCATTTTGATATTTTTAGCTAAAGCAAAGTATTTTGAATCATGGTCCAGCATATTTTTCATGGGATGGTTATTACATTATTTCCCATATTTTCTTAATTATGGATCACCACATTTGAATTCTTACTTTCCTTCGTTATATTGTGCAATTCTTTTAATCGGTATAGGATTTGATTTACTCACAAATCGATTTACATCCACTAATCGAATAATCACGGCTGTAATAATTTTGGCAGCAAGTATATACGTTTTTACATTATTTTCACCTATAACTTATGGCGAATCATGGACAAGATCTGATTGTAATAAAGTAAAATTGTTAAGTTCTTGGGATTATGATTGTGATTTTTATGATAAGGATTATCTTGAGAAGATTGAAGAGGATGATGTTATAGAGATTGACATGGAAAATTCACCGGGTACATATTATACAAAAAGTCCTGAATTTTTAACTCAGGTAGTTGAAGGAACTTATACAACAAAAGGAATGGAATGGTGGTAACAAAATAGGGGTGAGCATCATATAATATATTAACAAGGGGGGTCAGGTTTATAATTAAACGAATGTGATATAGTTAAGGACATAATTACAATTGGGATAGAAGGAAAGGACATATATATAGTATGCATTTTATAACAACTCATGTATGTATTCATAGATTAATTAGAAAGAAACCAAAATTTTTTATATAATATAATTATAAAGTTTTTAATAAACTAATTTCAAATATGTAATCATTGCTATCTCTTGTATAAGTTCTGTATTAACTCTAAATATAAAACTATTAACGTATCAGATGGTAATTAATGTACTGGAAGCATCCTCATTAATCATAGAACTTGAGAAATACAAAACAAGAAAGAAGTTAGTAGAGTTTACCACAAAAAATCCTGTCTGTATGATGATAACTAAACAACGAAACCGTCTTAATCCCAGTCTAGACTAGCAGGGGTGAACGTCCCATCATTTGTAGATCGGTTACACAATTGATAAAAGATTTTTTTATATTGTTTTACAATACTTTTTTAGAAAGTTCGCGTAACTTATCCTGCTATGAAAGGTGCTTAAAGTATTCGAACCACACTATAACATATTTATTTAATCCCAGTTAATCCCACACTGTTGTGTTGCTATGTCTTAGCAAAGTTACATTTAAAACATATATAGTTAAAAGTGTAAAACCACCAAGTTGACTAAATTTTGCATGTCAAAAAAAGCAAAACTAAAAAGCAATGATTCAGCAAAGGTAATATATCAAGTACATTGGTTTATTAATTATTATTATATGTTCTGCATAGAAAATTTTCAATTAATTAATAGTTGATAACTAAACATGCATATAGTTTTTTTTTGTTCAAAGATAAATATATGTATTGAGAATTGATATGTATATGTACTAATGTTACATTAGATGTATAAAAATTATTTTTTATTCTGGTATATAGTAGAAATTAGTTTATTAGTTAATATAAATGAAATTAATAAAGAGTTAATATAAATGAATTAATAAAGAGAATTAATATAAATGAATTAATAAAGGAACATACTTATTCATTACAATAATGTTCAGTATATTTATTTTAAATTTAAATTTTTTAATTTCTTATTTTTCGCATTTTTCATTATTTTTTATTATTTTTAAAATTTCCAATTTTGATTGGTCATTACTTATCAGAAGTGATTTGCAGTTTGTATAGTGAGAATGTTCACTCCTGCTGTCTAGACTACAATTTTCTTAGAGAGTTTACTGATCAGAAGATATGTCATGCTACAAGGATAGCAACTGTACACTTATACTAAATTTTACTACACAATCGACAAATTTCTTATATGATTTGAAAAAATTTCTTCTTTAAGTAGCTTTTTTTTTCTTTTGAAATATTTTATTGCTGTATTCAACAAAAGTATAAGTTCTAATCTTTTACTTTATTAATTGACAGAGTTACAATTTATTGTATGACTAGATTTTAAAAAATCTCAAATTGAAACCAGTCAATTGAAGACCATTATACAAAAATTTTATCAAATCTTATAAACTAACATTAGCTAACAAAGCTGAATATACTATATTATCATTGTTATAATGGATAATCTAATTTTGAATAATGAGTAAAGACTTTAAAATCCTTGATTCTGTTAGTATTGGGGATAATTCTGAAAGTCATGAACAACAAACAGTTTCACTGTCTTCTAGATATAGTACAAGCAATTCAAATAACAGTATAAATTTATACAATAGTTTATATGACCTCCATTTTGTCACAACAGTATTAGAGGTGTCTAAAACATATGTTAACTCATTAACAAAAATAACACATAAACAAAATATAGAAATTGGCATAAATTAGTTGATACAAGACCTTGATACAACATTTGATAAAGAATTATCATAGGAACTTATCATTTATTAAGATGATGAATTAATTATAGAACTTAATTATAATAAGTTAAACATATAAATAAGACATATATCATAGTAAATAGTTGTAATAGAACATTGCAACGATACTCTTAACCAGTATATAAACCATTGAGACAGCTTGAAGAGATTTGGAAATTGAATTTTAAACTAGTAAATAAAATCATTATGAAATCAAAAAAAATAGATTAAATATATTAGAGGTTTGTTTCACTCACTTTAACTATGATAATAAATAACTATATAATTACTAAAAAAATGAAGTTTCTATAGATAAGACAATGATTTGTTGAAAAAGATATTTATTTTGCAGATATAACAAATATATATTTAGTCATGAAGGTCACTATAAAGTGCATTTATAGAAATTGTGTAATTGGAACATATAAATAGTTTATAATAATTTGAAAATTTGTCCTGTGTTTCATAAAAATAAATTTACTGAATTATCCTCTAATTCAAGATGTGCACACTATATTTGTGCATTATGCTTTATTTCTAAAGAGAGCTATTTGTATAAACAAGAAGAAAAAGGTGCTGTTCTTTTATTTGATTGCACAGATTATCATTCTGATAATATGACAAAGTTACTTCAATTTATCATGAAATAGATAAATGAATTATCAGAATCTTCTAAAAAAAATATACAATACTTACTTTTTGATAAAATTTTTAAAGAAATAATGGTGTTTTTTAAAAAATTGAAATCTGTTAAAAATCAAAAAAAAAGATATTAGTGATGAAGAATTAAAGAACAATACAACTAAAAACAATGATGAGAATGTTAATCTATATCAAAAAAAGATCATAAAAGAAGAATCAACAAATCCTATATTGCCAATCTTATTAGGAATAAAAATTGTTTTTAAACTAAAAAAAGTTAATATTAAAAAATTTTTAGATAATGAAAATTATTGTAATATGATTAAGAAAAATCTGAAACAAATAGATGAAGTTTTGATGACTTTATTTTGGCATTTAAGATCAGAGGTTTATACAAATAAAAAAAATTAGTAATGCCTAGTTTCTTAGAAGAATATCAAAATAGTTTTCTATTAATACTTACAAATTTTTTTTATAGATTAATAAATATTATTCAAAAAAATAAATAGAAACTAGTTTTAAAAAAACAGAAAGAAAAGAGAATTGGTGATAAGGATTGTGATAAAACATATACTAAAAAAATTTTCATATTTTTTATTTTAGTATTGCTTACAATTACATTTCCAGGATTAAATATATGATTTAAACATATTCTTAGTTCACTTTGCCAAAAACCTTAGTTACACATATTCTTATACTCAATACTATGTGTGGCAAATGTTGTAGCCCATACCAATAGATACAAAAAATATTTAGAAAAACAATGTCATGAGCAAATTGATATAAATAAACAATTGTAGAAAAGAGATAACATATAGAACATTTGTATAGTTGATAATTTTGACCTTCAAGAAAGTACATTTAGTTATGACAACATCTTTGATATTATATAATAAACTGTCCATGTTACACTCTAAATAGTATTTCAATATTGACTTTTATAAAATATAACAAGCCTTATAGAGTCTTATAATTTAGAACTTTTGATCTTTCAAGTTGAGCAGTTAACATTTATTAATAATAAAATAAAAAATATTAAAAAAATTTTTAACTTATTTGTTAAGAACAAGTAGTTAAATTATAATGCTTTTAATATAAGATCTGCATTATAAAAAGATATGCCAATAGATTGCAATATACCAAAACTGATTAAATATTAAAACCCAATAATAATCTATGTAACAATTTAAATATTTATTAGGCAATCAATATGTACTTTGATAATGTTAGAATTGTAAGAATAATTTTTTATATATATTTTCAAATCAAGCAATATTTCATAAATTAATCTCATTGCATAAAAAAAACCTTGAAATTCAGTTATTATTTGATAGATGGCATACAAATAAATATATGTTATATACTTTATTGGCATTTTTTTCTGAGTATAGTATATATCATTGGCAGTTTGCTTGGAGTTTCTTTTTTTGAAAAACTTGAGAAAGTTGTAGACTATAATACTATATATAGAGTTGTTAAGTTAATTTAAATTATAGTTAATAATGCAATTACAGCTTATTTAAAACACAATAATAAAAATGTTAAAAGTATTGAATCTGAAAATAATAGTATTTTAAAGATTTGGTATTGGTTTTTTGTATGACAGAATATTGAGTATTGCATAAAACTGAAATCAGGTATAAAAACCATCATATGCAATATTATAACTTGGCTGTCTTTGCTTTTCTTTTTGCAATAGCAAGTTAGTATCATTATTCAAAATTTGTTATTTATTATTTAGTTCAAATAAGTAGTAATCCTGTATTACAAGTTTTGTTAAAATATGTATGTTCAATAAACATAACAAGATCAGAACAAAAGAATAGTAATCCTAGTGTAATAGTTAAGTTGTTATTCTCCAAGTGGCAGGTCTAAGGTTCAAATCTCACCTACAATAAAATTTGGAAATTATATCTGTATTATGGTAACTGTCTTCTATTAATCAGTTGGCCTCATATGGCTATAACCCAGATATACCAAGTTAGGTTCTACCAATATTGAAAGCTTGGGCATCTATATAAAGTGTAACATTATATATACATAGAGGAATGTATAACTAGTATTGCATAAGACTTCAATGCAAACCCATAATAAGACTATCAGATGTAGAAGACTAAGGAACTGGGTGACAAAAACCTATTTAGAAATTCCTAAATAAAGAGGTAGCATAAACTTTCAATAATATCATCAGACTGGTTGAAATTTACTAAACACCTTCATATGAACCAAAAGTTAAACCAAATATCAAATATGTATAAAAAAGCATATAACCAACCAGGCCACTGGATTTGTTAAAGGAAAAAGATACAAAAAGATACTATACCAGATTATCTGGATTGGTAGTCTGAAAGAAATTGCTAGTTCCAAGTTGCAGTTAGTAGAGGATGATGAAAAAGATATTCGGAAGATAGGTTTTGAGATTCTAGTAAACTTTACAAAAGTAATAATAATATAATATAGTGATTAAACAGATAATTACTATGACTGCAAGTGTTTAGTAACTATAGCATATTGTATAAAACTAGATCTATATATGTAGAACATAAAGACTCTAGTAAGTTTCCTGTTAAAGATAAAGTAGTTCTAAGGGTAATGACTAGCATTGGAAACTTGAATAGGTGTAACTTTGAGATATTTTTGTGATACAAGAAGAATTGCATATGCAGAGGGTTTAAATAGACAAGACTCCTAGTTGGCTTGCAAATATGGCAACTAATGTAGAACTTATATAGTAATGTGTAAGTGAACTACTTAAATTAGGTATCAAAAGTGCACATATGACTAGTTGTAACCTCCAATGTATAGGTAGCCTCTAAAGACATACTGTGTTTTATAATACTTGAATAAAAATGTTATATTCTTAAAACAGGGACTTTAACTATAAAAAAAAAAAAAAAAACAAGATCAAGACATTTTTTAGCACTTGATGAGGCTTTTAAGTCTTTAGATATAAAGTATATAAAACAAAACTTTGAAAAGTATTTAGGAACTATCAAAGAATTAAAAAAAAGAATTGCTATTATGCAATTTAAAAGAATACAAATAAATTTACTTCTAAGTGAATTTATTAATAATATATCTGTTATATTTACAGAATATAATTTATCATTGTAAAAAGATGTATTATAAAAATTAACAGTTTATCTATTAGAAGCATTTAACATGTCTGATCCAACAAATTATTCTTTATTTCAATATACAATGTAGAATTATAATAAAGGATTTTACAGACTTTTTGCTTATTATAATATTAAAAAAAAAAGACTTTATAGTATTTACAAGCAATATATAAAAAAGTCAGCTAAACATAATCCAAAAGGTAGATGTGTCTGTAATATTGTAGTAGATACAGTGGCTTAACAAAAACAGTGTAAATTGCAAACACAACAATCAAAAAAAAAGAACAAATTATGATGTTGTAGACAATGAAAAAGAAAAAACTTGAAAAATTATAAAAAATGATAATAAAAGCTCTGATTTAATTAAATCAATATCAAACAGAATATCAGATGTAATAATTTTAGCAATTTGATAGTTCATATTATCTCTTTGCATAATGAACAAATAAAAAATCATTCAGATTTAAATAAGTTATTAAAAATTAAACTAAACAGCATACTTGAATATTTTATAAAAAATTAATTGTTTAATAACTGTAACAAAATTTTTCAGTCTTTAAAATAAATTTTTTTTAAAATCTTTTTAATTTTATTATGATAACAATAACTAATATAAAGTATTTTATTATCATCATATTAGTAAATTTTTGAAATATTTAAATACGATATATAATTCTTTTCTTTTCAATACTATTAAAATAACTAACTATATGTTTCTTTGGTGCTATTTATGTAGCAGATTGTTGATAATAACTAAACACTTTATGTTCATTTTTTTAACTTCAAGATGATAACAAAATTATAAATGCTTTGTTAGCATAATTCATATCTGTTTAAAAATTTTTGAATACCTATATTTATCTTACTCAATTTAATTTATTTATAATAACATTAATCAATATTGAACATTTTATCAGCATTATCTATGTTTATAGGTTTCTGTATTAGAAAAGATTAATGTATATTAATTAATTTATATAATATCTAATAATTAAAACTATAATGTTATATGTTTTTTTAATTTTTAAATAGAAAAATTCATAATAGTATGCATTCAAATAAAACACTAAATGAATTAGAATAACAAAAGAATTTAGTTATTTAAAAAAATCATAGATTGTAAAGAATCTTGAAAATTATCTTTATTTTAATTGCATAAAAAAAATGTGTATTAATAATAAATAATCAAAAGAATTTATCTTAATTTTGTACAAATAAAAAATTATTATAATACTGAATACTACAAATAATTGCAGTAATATTAATGATAAATCAATTTGCAAAAAGTAATATTAAGTTTATTTATTATTTAATGTAGCAAGCATTCAAAAATCATATTGCAAAACAGTTTGTATAATATATCTTCTGACTGCTATGAACATGTACTAATCACATAATATTAATTTATTATATAACTATTTTTTATAAAGTAGCAAACTCAAATAAAACTACAATTATCAAAAACTTCACTTTAATTAATTAATCAATCAATTCAAGCTGCACATAATAAGACATATTGACACAACAATTAAAAATAACTTATTATAAGATAACTTAGTCCTAAAGATCAGTCTATAAACTGATCTATAACATGATCTATTGGCTGGTTTTCAAAGTAGACTATATGACTTTTAATGTTCACTACATATAAAAAAAGACAAATTAATCAATATTAGCATTGTTAAATATAAAATTTTAAAAAAACTTGTTACAAATTTATGCCAATATCAGTTGCAACATTATTGTTTGGTATAAAATTTGACATTTTTATTTTATATTTAAAATTTACCTAAAATTCATATTGCTCATTTCAGATTTTTGACTTACAGCTATTATAATGAATCCTGAATAAGGATGTTAAAATTATCTTGTCAAAAAAGATTCAACAGGTCTTGGATTGTCTTATCATCCAATAATAAGTCATTTTCAATTTTTGTGACAATGCATCTTATTGTATGCAGCTTGGATTGATTAATATAGATAATTAGAATAAAATCTTTAATAATTTATTATAAAAAATGCACTTTTGTGTGAGTTTGCTACTTTGTAAAATAGTTATATAATAAATTAATATTATGTGATTGGTACATGTCTATAATGAAAATTATTTTTGTGCCCCACAATTCATGCCCCAGCCAATCAGATAGCAGCATAACAATCACATAATAATTAATATAAAATTACACATCATAATGATATATAAAATAAATTTATTGTTTTTTTTTTGCTTATCTTCATAATAAGTTTTATTAATAATAATGTTCCTAAAATTGGTGACTGTTTTTTAACTTTTAAAAATGCTACATCATTCTTGCAACTTTATGCTAAATGAAATGGTTTTGCTATTATTCTTGCAAATATATATAAATTAATAACAATTATTCAAAATTTGCATATATTTGTCAAAAGTCTGAAAAGTTCTGTAAATATAAATCAGAAAACTTTATTCAATAAAAACAGTTTGTCCATTTATTGTCCATTTTTGCTATCGAAAGACTAATAATAATTATGAAATTACTTTAGTTCATCTTAAACATAATCATCTAATGTTTCTTAATTCTATTTAATTTACAACCATAAATTGACATCTGACAACTGAAGATGTTGCACTAATTTGATATTGAAAAAATCATCAGCTTGAAACTTGTTCTATTATTTTACTTCTCTCTAAAACTACAAGTAAATATGTTCATAAGTAAGATGTTTATAATGCTCTTTCATGGATCAAACAAGCAGAAATGAATGATCTTGCTGAAGTTGAATTTCTTATTAAAAATCTTCATGAGAATTCAGAAATCATTGTATATTTTGCTATTAATAAAACAACAAATGAAAACTTTCTTAATGGAATATTTTGGGCCTATCATATTAGCTTTACCTACTTTTCAAAAGGACATAATGTTATTATTATAGATGTGATATATAAAACAAATTGGTTTAATATGCCATTAGTTGTAATTTGCTTTGTAGATACATATAGATCAACATATATACTTGCTTTAGCCTTAATTAGTCAAGAAACAACTGCACATTATACATGGGTATTGGAATGTTTTAAGATGTCTTTGGTTAATCTTACAGAAAATGAAACTGTTGAAACATTTTTTACAGATCATGAGCTTGCCTTATTAGCTGCTATTTCAAATACATTTCCTTTATCAAAGTCATAACTATGCATATTTCATATTCAAAAAGATATTTTTAAGAATTTAAAATCTAAATTAAGAAATCAATATGATGATTTTATTAAGAAATTTATGATAATTACAAATTATGAAGAAGATATTGAACTGATAGATCAGAAGATAAATGCATTATTACAAAACTATTTAGCAGCAACTAACTATATAACATCAACTTGGTTTATATATCAACATTATTGAATTTATGCTTATACTAAATATAATGTTAATCTTGGTATTAAATCTACACAATGTGTTGAAGAAATGCATCATTGGCTAAAGGATATACATCATCATAAGATTTCTGTAAGCACCTTTTTGTATTCTATTAATAGTTATCATACTCAACAATGACAAATTGATAATTATATCAATTTTTATAATCAGTATACAAGTTATCAAAATATATCTAAAGAACACAATAAAATTATGAATAATGTGAGTTTATATACTATTCACAAACTTTTTAATTCAGAATTAGAGTACACTATGCAAAAAGACTATAAAATTATTTGAATCATGGATAATTTATTTATAGTTCAATATCAAGATTCTAAAAAACCTAATTTACCAATTTGTGATATTACATTAAATTCCAAATTAATAACAACATATACATGTTTTTATTCTTAAAGTTATCATTGTCTATATTATCATATTATAGCTATTTATATTAAATATTTTTATCAATCAGTTCCTGCACATGAATTTCATATTTGATAACATATCATTGATTATGAATTTGAACTTTTATCAGCAACATTAAAAAGTATTTCAACTATGCAAGTAAAACTAAAAAAAATTCATAATGATGCTTTCACTAAAAGTTTGCTTGAGACATTTGTTAAGATGATTCATAAAGTGAAGTTGAATAGAAAATTGTTAAACAATTCAATTAATTGTATAAAACAAGAATCAAATACATTATTAGTGTTACAATGCAAAGATTTAGAAATATATAATGTGCAATGTATATCTGAAAATCTCAAAATTTCAGCACCTATTATTCTACAAAAACGAGGTTATCTATCAAATAACAAATGTTTGAAACAAAAAAAAAACCTATTTTATGAAAAAATCATAAGAAAGATATCATACAAAAGAATTCTTTCAAAGCAAATTCAATCAATATTACTAATGATAAAATTCAATTAGAAAAAAAATTTACATTGAATTCACACATTCCTTTAAATATGTTACTTGCAATTAATAATACAATTTCAGATGGCAATTATGGTTTTTATACAATTTCACTAAGCAATTATTAACAAGAAGATTGGTAGTTGATAGTAAAACAGAGAATACTTATTATATTAAACAAATATAGAATATTTTATGATAAATGCTTGGGTTATGATATAAATGACACAAATTATGTCTTGAATACAAATCTTTACCTTGTTTATTAGATTACTGGTTTTATACATTAGACTGTGCACAAATTGCTTCAGATACATTTTCATGACCAATAGTAATTTATGGTGAAAATAGAAAACAAAGTCAATTATTTTTACTATATTTCGTAACGCAAGTAATATTTGTATGCTAATTATTATACATTGACATAATAGCAATCACTATGTACAAATTGAAGTAAATAATAATAGCCATTTGATATTTCCACCAATTGATATTCAATATATGCATGTTCATAAAGATCAACCATGTGGAGAATCTTGGACACAAATGTATTTAGAACGATGCAAAATTTAGTAGAAAATATCTATTGATATAAATAGAAATATATAATAAATAGTTTTTAGATTTAGTAAAAAGGACGTATATAATTCTATTCTCAACATATAGAAATTATAATTTCAAGATTTTTATTTTATTTGGACAAAGCTAGCGATATCAATTAAAATAATTTGATTAAATTATTGTATATAGTAGATTAAATTACATCGCTAACAAAACTATATATTAAATTTGATCGGACGTAATCACGTGATCATGGTGCTATTATCTGATTGGCTGGGGCACGAAAATAATTTTCGGTGTCCATAATGCGAATATCACATGATCGGTACGTGTCCGTAGTAGAGTTTGAAACCGGTTTTATTTTTCTTATGTTAAATCCGATTAAAACCGGTTTTAACATAAGAAAAATAAAACCGGTTCCAAACACTAGTCCGTAGACTCTCCGCAATTTTCCAAATAAAAATCATGTGATCTCCAGTTAGGCGACAATCATTGAGTGGCTGAAATGTGTAAATTTCATAATAAAAGTCACTATTACGTTCATATAATCTTAGAATGCTGAAAGTTGACAATAAGCAAAAATAATCTAATATTCTGTGATCTACCAAACTGATCTTTTTTTTTAAAAAAAAAAAGTTATTATAAGCTAGTTTGTATTCCAGCATTATAGAAAAATGAGCCAATTTTTACTATGAAGCTTACTATTTTTTATACACTTCAACTAGAGTTCTCATGTGCCCATGCCGGTTGTATATCAGAATCCAGACACTCAAAATAATCTTAATTAAAACAGAACTTTCCTTATATTGAGAGTTTAATTAGTCTTTCTCATATCGAAGGCTTCTTATGTCGAAAGTCACTTGTAGCAATTTTCTTTTTTTAATAAATGATGTGCAAAATTTCTTCATATAAACGCTAACGATTAATATGAGTAATAAAAATAAAATAAAGCAAATAGTTTTTTCTCAACATTAATAATATTTACAATTTATCAAATATTATGAGTATATAAATAAATTTAATTCAAACAATATTGAATATGCTTATGGAAAGGTTCGGACAAAATGTCGAAAGCATTTGTAATACTAAACCATCTTTCGTTATTTCACCTTGCATTGTTTCCATGCATAATTTTTCCTAACATATTTTTATAGAATTTAATAATATATGTTTATCACCATTTCGCTAAATATTGCAATAATCTTTTTTTACTCTCCTCTCCTCCGAGTTGTTCAGTAAATAGAAATTTAGTATCAGTAAAATAAGAATGAAAAATATCTTTGTGCTTGACTAGTATTTCCATGTTGGCTGTACTTGACAACGATGAATGTTCAACAAGGAAAGATACAAAAACATCGAAAGGAATTTCGAAATATCGCTTCATTATAAACCTTAAAGATGCAATAAATTCTTTCTTGATAAGCATCTTATCAGTTAATCGAATTTGTTTTCTGATATATTTTCATAATACTCTAGAACTAACATAACATTCCATAAATCTATTTCATTAATTCCTTCCATGTCTTGTTGAATTTGATAAAGTTTTGATAAATTTGAATCGCCTCCACTTTATCCTCGTTCAAGCATTCTGAAAGAATTCCTGTACAAAATGCTGATAATGCTTGTTCATCAACATTAGCATTAAAATCTTCGTAAAGGTATTGAGTAAATGCTTGTACTTGCGGATCAGACGAATAAAATCAAGGTTTTGTCACCTGAAAGTCGTTCGGTTTCTAATACCTACCAAAATCTTGCCATCTGGAAAAATGCGTGTAAGTAAATCACGTAGACCTTGAGGATCCTAAAATATCTAGATATGCATGTATATAATAATATAAATTTGCACTATATTATTAATTAAAATATATCTTAACAAAAATTACCAATTTTTCTTTCCAAAATTTACGATCAAATTCTAAAATTTCACGAATTCTAATCGCATAGGCCAATATCTTAGACTATCAATTTCAATTGTTTGATGAAACCTGATTCAGGTAACAAACAAGGTGCAACTATCACTTTGCTTTTGCTATCAACTAAAATTTCTTCTCTACCATCCTTTTACGGCGTCGTTAAATATAAGTTCACTGGAATATGACAAGCTTCTTTGGTCTCAATATCTCTTAAAACCAAACATCTTGGTTCAACTGCCAATACCCACAAGTGTCTAATAGCTTGAAAATGTGCCCTATTACCATACGATTCAATCGGATATCTTGGAAATAATGCACAAACTAAACCTGCTATCGCTTTGTTAGACGTCGAAAGTGTAAAGCTTCCTCCCCAAGAAATAAGGATCCTAATGACATGCTTGTTACCATATGAGTTCCATATTAATGCGAAATAGTACTTGAGCTGCTAGTATCAACTTCTTGTTGATGGATTTTACGTATTCTTCGTAAAACTTCTAGATTTCCGCCACTCGCAGCAACTATTGAAACACTCGTAGATAAAACATTCAAGCAAGATTTGATGGCTGATATTGTGATATTTTCATCGAATGTTGATGCTAAAAATTTACAAGTATAAATCAGAATTTACATACATAATTATAACTTTAAAGCGAAATATTACCTCTTCTTGTACTTTCCAATCCCATAAATAAATCAAGATAAGAAAGTAAGCATTTAAATGCCTTTTTATCATCGGATCCTGCATATTTAAGTGCCATACTGAAACAGGCTCTCGACAATATATAATAATACGAACTCCTAATAGATTCGAGGTTATCATAATATCAGAATTAGGCGTCAGTTGCATACGTACTGTACATATATATGTAAAATACTTTATTTTTGTAATTAGTAATTTTTCATTAATCGATATGCACGTATGCATCTCAAGGTCTCTATTTTTTTACAATATATGTTAACGTAAATTATGTGTTTCAGTATTTTGAGTATCGGGATTCCGTATATCAGGATTTTGAGTGTCGGGATTCTGAGTGATGGGATTTTGAGTGTTGGGATTTTGAGTGTCGGGATTTTGAGTGTTGGGATTCTAATATACAAACGCCCATGCCAGACACATTAGGCACCATGCCGGGCACTAATGCTTATGGCATGTCCTTGCCAGTCTAAAAAGTGCCAGGTACTTTAGTGCCTAAGAAAGTGCCCAGCACTTGTTTAATAGTGCCTGGCACTTTAGGTCTGGCTGCGTGTCTAGTTCTTTTAAGCCAAAACCGAAATCAGGCACAAAAATGCCAGGCATTTTTTAAGCCAAACAAAAAAATGCCTGTGCCTTAACATTTTTTGTTATGCAAGGGTACATAACTTCAACCTCTTTTAAATCGATTAGTTTCAGACTTGGCCAACTTTTCGATTAATCAACTTTCGATTCGTATCACTAGTCACGTCCGTCGGGGTTTGGGTCAATATCCCAAAGATCAAAATCCCAAAGGTACTAAATCTCAATACACTAAATCCTAAAAGAACAAAATTCCAAAAGTACAATATCCTAAAAATTAAATCCTAAAAAAACATAATCATTATGTTTTTTAAAATTATAATTTTTTGGGATTTTAATCTTTTGGGATTGTAATTTTTTAGATTATAACTTTTTGGGGAATTTTGTTCTTTTAGGATTTAGTGTATTGAGATTTAGTACCTTTGGGATTTTGATCTTTGGGATATTGACCCAAACCCCGTCCGTCGTGCTAGGACAGTGCCAATGCTTAAGAAAATGTCTAGATGTCTGTACATATGCCCTAAATTTTTGTTAGACATAGGAGTATGGGTCTGCAACCTGGGCTCATGCCTATGCCTAACAAAAAATCTAGGCATGGCCATGAAAACTCAGGTACGGGCACAGGCATGGGCATATGGACAGAAATTGGATGTTTATATTTAATTGTGCCTGGCACTTTGTGCCTGGCACTTTGTGCCTATAGGTACAGGCACGGCATAAGGCACTAGTGCCCGGTCTGGTGCCAATGTACTGGGCATGGGCATTTGCAGACCTCTACATAGGAGCATGCGAGGCAGCCCTAATTTGAAATTCTATAAATATAAACGGTAAACGTTAATAGCATAGCATAATTGAACCATTTTTATTAGATTAGAATTACATATAAAAAATAAACATCGTTATTGCTAATAAAATATTTCTATTATTAGATTATCTATAATAAAGACTTTAGAAGAGAATATATTAATTCACGTCTTAGCAAAAACACTGTCTTCTACATTGACAACCAACGCCAGATCCTCTACACTCGCAATAAAGTGAGTGTTTTTGAAAATCAACTGTAGGCTGTGTACTAGCATTCGAGGTGGAAGAAAATAATGGTGAAACGACGTTCATGGTATCAATGGTGCTTGATTTGTTATCCTCCTCAGTAATTTTCAAATCTTGCTGCATAATCTCCAGTAAAGAATCGAACATGCTCTGTGGATGTATCTTTGAAAGAGTATTTGTCAGGCAAGACTGAGTTTGAACTTTTTGTTTTTTCCACATTTTTTGGTGGGAAACTTTTTCATCAAGTATTTTTTGATGATGTAGAGCGTGAAATTGACAAGATGATAGGGATTCATATTTTTGGTATGATATTGGAATTGTAGTGTCACGCGTTATGTTAAGGTCCAAATCGTGAAGGCTAATAGAATATTGTTGAGAAGATTGACAAGTACATTTTAATGAATCCATATACGAAATTGAATTTCTTGATTTCTTTATAAGTTTTTGATGAGTTATTCGATTAAAAATTCTCAAAATTACGTGTGGATGAATCACACCTTTATATAGACTAGATAGTTTAAAATTTAAAATTGCTGATAATATAAATTATTCGATTGTCACCTGAATTCTGAATTACATTTTATTAACCATTTTAAGAAGATCTCTCATGTCAAAAACCAAGCTATTCCAATTTATTCATCAATCAACGTTAGGATAATATCGGCTTATTCGGCTTTATTCCATTAACAGAGCAGATAACACCGATTTTTATGAATAGTTTATGTAACAGAGGCGTTACGGAGAACTTAATGGGGTAATATATTCCAGATCGGATTTTACGGATTAAATGGATACCAATTTATATACCTAATATTAACAAATAATTCAATTTCTAGCACCACACAGTATAAATAAGTTTAATCAGTTTTTGATGACTTTTCGCAAGCTAGTAATTCATTTAGATTATAATAAACGTAAGCTATAAATCACTCTAAAGTTACATAGTTTTTAAATTAGTAATTTTCAAACCTTTTCGAAAAGACATACATTTTATCATTTATTAAGCTTATTAAATGAATAATTACAAATAATTACAAATAATTTAAAGTTTGCTCTAGGATTGACTAATAAAATAATAAGTATCTCAGATCTACGAAATTTTCTTATGAATAACACGAGCAGACCTACATCGTACATGACACATGAAAAGATTGCCATTGGATTAATTTAGGCACAGCAAAAAGTGTAGTATTGGACAATGATAAAATCACGAGCACAAGAATACATACGTACGTACATATATTTGTGAATAAGACTAATTTAAATGTTGATCTTTGGGTTGTCAATTTCTTGATGGAACGCCCCGAGTCTTCAAGTTTGTAATAAGAACTTCAATTTTATGCTTATATTTTATTATACATTCGTTTACTAAGAAATGGAGTTCGGAGCTGTCATATTTATTACTTTATTTTATTTTATTTTATTTTTCTCATCTTTTTCTTTTTTTGCACGGTTTTCCTTTTTGTCCTCTTAATGTGATGTACAAATAAGCCCTGATCGATACATTCGGATAATCCATTAATTAATTGCTAACGCTAACGATAAAAAAAACGAATTATTAATTTATCAACTCTACCAATAATTAAAAATTATTTTGAAAATTTCGTCACTAATTGATTATTGTTATTGTTATGATATCACTGCAGGATTAACGAAACAACCATGATAACTGTGAAATTCCTCCACTTAGCACCGGGTGATAATTAAATTCCTTTATTGCAATCAGTAAGGTCTCTTGAATAATTCAAAGTCAGAATTTTTTGTTTTAGGTATGAGTCTTTTATACTACGAAAGGATTAGGATTGGCTAAAAGTTTTTAGTCGACTACGTAGTTAGTCGATTAAAATTGTTAGTAATTAACTAAATTAACTGACTTAAATATTATATGAGTACCGGCAAGTAAAAACCTCGAACTGGGAATTTATATATAATTAATTTAGGGAACGCATCATAGAAAATTGCTATTTCCACCATGCTTTTCACACGACTTCAGCTACATAAACATGAACATATTGTCATGATAAATTATATACAATGGTCTTGCAAATAATAAATATATAATATACATAACATAAATTGCCGGTTCGAAGTTTTCCCTTACCGGCACTTATCTATTATATGATCAATTACGTACTGTACATACTTGATTTTCCAATTAAAAATTCAAATAAATTTGGCATTGGCAATCAGTTAATGTTTAGTTGATTATATATCGACTAATTTTTAATTCCAATTCTTACTAGGATATATATGGATACGGAATATCTGTAGATTCGGAATCGGATTCTGAAATAACTTTGCGATAATCGAATTTTTAAAAGCGAACAAGCAAATTTATTACATAAATATATTTTTTTAAGAAAAATACATTTTTAAAAAGAAAAATACATTTTTAAAAAGAAAAATACATTTTTAAAAAGAAAAAAATAAATTTTTTAAAAGAAAAAAAATACATTTTTAAAAAGAAAAAAAACCCCCCGTTTGTTTAAAAGAAACCGCATTTAAAAAAATTTAAAAAAAGCACATTCTTTTTGATTTACTCTCTGTTAATACATTTAGCATTATGTGGATGATATTCGCTTCCACATATTACATTAAGACGTTTGCATTTGCAAGTTATTATTACATTCATTTTTTACAATTGCATTTCATGCCAGTCACAATTGATGTTGATTGCATTCTTGCTATTTCACATACACTGATAATTTTATCTTAACAAATATAAAATTCTTCATATTCAGTTAGGTCAAGTGATATAAGATCATAAATAGTATCAATAATTTTATTTTTACATTGTAAACAATATGTTTCATTTAGTAATTTATTAATTATTTTGCATAGTAAAGTATACTGATCAATACTGTTATGATTTATTTTTAAACCAGAAATACATACATAATTATTAATAAAGTATTTAAAGAATGTTTATTTGGTCTTCATTGATTTCAATATTTAGTAAGTAATTTGTTAACATATTTACAAGAAAGTTGATTATATAATTATATATTATAAACATTTTGTAATAATAATTATTTATTAGATTAATTTAATGTTGAAGTTTTAGATTGACTTGAAATTAGCTATTTAGTTAGTTCAATATTAAAATGATTATAATTCAACCTTGAAGATTCAGAATATATGTTGAAAGTTTAAAAAAAATTTGATATTAAAAATTTAGTTTAATTTAATACTAAAAGTTTAAATTGATTTAATATTAAAAATTTAAATTAATCTAATATTGAAAATTTAAATTAATTAGTATTAAAGGTTTAGGTTAACTTATTATTAAATATCTAAGTTAATTTGGCATTAAAGGTTTGGTTAATTTTATATTAAAAATTTAGATTAATTCAATATTAATGATTCAAATAATTAATCTTCAAAACCATTAGTAAAATTATTAAAATCTTTAAAAAATTATTAAACAATAATTTTTTATTAACAATATTTTATTAATACAAGTCTTTAAATATCAAAATATATTAAACAGAATCTTGGTCAAATATAAGAGAATATGATAATTTATTTATTGCATAAGTTGTTTTTTTTTTTATTTTTTTTATTTTTTTTATTTTTAAGAAGTCATGCTAGTGCTTTATTAAGATTTTTGAAACTACTACTGTAATTACATAAATTTATCTAACAACTAAGCCTAGCATCACTCAGCTATCCTAATAGTGTCTAAGTATAACCTGTCATATTACTTCTAGCAGAAGTAAGCTGCTTGTCTAACTACTTAAAGTCTGTAATAAAAGGGTCTTTCCTCTTTCATAACAAGCTTGTTAATTGTCTTCCTAACTTTTTTTTTTATTCACTCTTCTTTTTCTTTTGTTTTCTTTCTTCTTTTTTCTATTGCTTGCTGATTAATCTTTCTTTTCTTCTTTATACTTAACTTTTCTTTTCCCTTTAGTCTTTTTTTTTTCTTTTTATTTATTATTCCTTTTTTTTCTCATGTATTGACCTTTTCACAACAGATTTTCCAGACTTGTTCATAGAATGTATTTCATGTTGTTTCTGCTAATATGTTTGTAAAATGTTATCTTGTTTTTGTACTTAAGATTTGGGATAACCTGTCTTGCATTGTTCTTAGAATTAGACTTTTGATCAGTGCTTTTCTTATTTCTATTTCCTCTCACTCTGTTTGTTCAAAAAGTGCTGTATATAATATTTGAGATGGGATTTGTATCTTTTTTTCTTCTTTTAAACTGTTCTATGCTGTCATAATAGATACTTTCTGTATCCTTTTTTATAGATTTGCTTGTCCTTTACATAATGTTAAAAATGTTCTTGTGTTTCTTTAACTTTGCTTTGGCAAACTTAGCATTCTGCTGTTGTATATATATCTGGTCTTCTTTTATTAAATTCTTCCAATGTTGGGAGTTTGTCTAATATACATTTCATAAAAATACTGCTTCTTGTACTGTTTCTTATTATTAGGCAGTATACTTCTTTAGATAAATCTAGCTTTCTTCAAAAATATATCCAATCATATATCATTATTTTTGCTTCTGGTTCAATATTCTTGATCACTATTGTTTCTTTCTACTCTAATCCCAGTTTGGTATTTGTTACTATTTTACATAAAAGTCTTGCAGGTATGTCTATTCACTTGTTTTCCTATTCTAGGCAGTACTCTATCTCTTCATGACTAACTTTTTTTAAAAAAATTATTTTCCTGTTTAATGTTCTCTTCTTTGCAAGGCTATCAGCTTTATCATTCCATCTATTTTTGCTATGACTTTTAATTTTGACCTACTCTATCTATATATTTTTTGTTTTCACTATATCTATTATCTTCAATACTCATAGTGCATTTTTCTTTTTAAGAACTTCATTTCTATCTATATATGCTGTAATATTATAGATATTTTTAAACATTATTTTATATTATTTTATTGATATTATATTAGTTTTATATTATATTTTAT